GCCACGGGCCTGTGACACTGGAGCGTGCCCGGCACGCGGCCGAAGCTGCAGGCGCGGTCACCCCAACTCAGATCACATCAACCGGCCTCAGAGGAGCACCCAGTCCTCCAGGGGACCCACCTGGGTCCGCGCCCTGACTCTCCCACACACTAGCCGGGCAATACTCATTTTCCCGTGTGCCTCGGTTTCCCCTCTGCAACACAGGAACCGCGAAGGGTTGCTGGGAGGATTTAAAGCAGTAACAGGTGGGGGGGGCCAGTAGGGACGGTGCCGACACCTGCACCAACACGCCGCTCACGTGATTCCCACGGCGAGCCTGCGGTTTGCGAGAGCACCGCCTCTCAACCCTGTTTCATCCTCTCTCTCCGAGGGGCCTTCTCGGATGCTTCTCCCCTACTCAGCCCCCTCCCACGAAATTCCAACAGCACAGATAGGCCGTGCGTCTGCTCATGTACTATGTGTATAGCTGGGCTTTATAAAAAGATTTTTTCCACCCCCTCCAAACACCATTTTCACCCCCTTGGGGGTGCCACTGGCCCCTTTGGGAATGCCAGGACTGAAGTCCATGGCCCAGCTGAAAACGGAGTCCCCACTGCTGTGAGAGCAGCCCCCGCAGAGGACGCGGGTGACAGGCACGAGAGAGAAGCGGCCGCTTTTCCAAACTGCGAGGTGGCCTGATCACGTCGAGAACGAGGGCTTTGTGGGATTGGGTAAGGAAATGGTCCTGGCATCAGAAGACCAGCCTTCAAACCCCAGTTCCGCCATTTGTCACTAATGTGTGACCTCAAGCAAAACACCTGGCCTTGGTTTGCTCATCTGCAAAATGGAGCAACCTCGCCAAGCAAAAATGCTCAGGAAATTCAAAGCAGCTGCCCAGATGTAAGTCCCTGTTCCACGGGAGCCTATCAGTGAGGATACGGAGCAACGGGCCCGGAGTCCCAGGGGGTGAAGGCAGACCAAGCATCCCGCCCCCAGCCCAGCGCCCCCCACGCCCCCCACCGCTCTCTGCCTCTCGGCTGCATGGTTTTGCCAGGCTCGAAACTCTGAAAAACAACACCATGACATTTCAACAAGCAGCTCTCTCCAAATGAGTATGCGGCTCGAGGAGTTGCGCTTAAATCTAATTATGCGGCACACCAAAAGCAGCGCCGTATCAGTTACATAAATACTTTTAAAGACATCTTTCTAATTATCTTTTTTTTTTTTTCAGACAATATACTTCGAAGAAATTTAATTAACACCTTACGAGAGACAGGGGTTCAGCATGCTAATGTGCAGGGAGCTCTGGCATGCTCCGTCCGCCGCAGACAGGGGGCGCCTAGCCAGCCGCTCCCCAACACGGCGCCACAGCAGGAGGGGACACTGCCACCAGGTCCTTCTGGGGCTGCTGAGCCCAGTTAGACTCTCAGCTGGTCGGAGCTGGGCCCAACCGGGGAGGAGAGAGAAATTCCCTGAGCGAGTCCAGCATGACCAACGGGGGAGTGCCGGCTCCTCCTCTTCCCTCTTCATTCATTCATTCATTCATTCACTCATTCATTCAACATAGTATATCCTGACCACCTATTGTGCACCAGCGCTGAGCTCAATGCTGGGGCCACAGGGATGAATCAGGCCTGATCCCAGGTCAGGAGACTCCAGAGTGATGGCAGAGACAGACTTAGGCAGGTGGTAACGCTGACATCACCGGCTTTGATGGGGTAGCACAGGGGTCGGGGGCCAGAGAAGGCCCTAAGCCAGACTGAGGCTTCCCAGAGGCTTCCAAGAGGAGGTGGTGGCTGAGCTGGTCTGGAAGCTAAAATCTCCCTCCCAGGAATTCCTGCCACGCCCCTGTCCTCTGGGCCCCTCCTCCCAACCCTGACGGCCGGTCTTGCAGGTAGCCAGCCTGGAATCCACCTGTCCACCCTGCCCCACCCCCAAGCACAGCTGACCAAGGGGGGCCCATCGCTTCTGGGCTATTGGCCTGACAGGAACATGTGTGAGCCAATCAAATCCACTCATTCATTCATTCACCCACACACCACCTGAGGTGAGCATGCCACGAGGTGACAGAATCCAAGTCAAAAAGACAGAGAGAGACAAGGAGCACGATGCCACCTGCAGGGCCACTGCCAGTCCCCACTCTCTCCCCCCCAGAGAGCCCCTCAGTGAGAAGCCCCCTGCTCCCAGCCAGCGGCAACCAGCCCGGAGCAGCTCGGTTTTGAGCTCTTTAATTAACTCTGTTCTCATTTCCCTCGGCCCCGAGGCTTCTGAGCTCAGTGAGGATGCAAACCGAACCCTCCCCAGAGAAAAAATAGACTCTTATTTCCCGGCACTGTCCTCCAGCTATTCGGATTGTACCAAATGCTCAGCCTTGAAGTCACGGCGCCGGGAGCGGCCTCGGTGACTGCCACAGGCAGAGCTCAGTACCGTCCACACACTCGCTCTCTTCGCCCGCACGGCGACCGTCAGGCAGGGTCCTAGGGCTGCGCCCACTACACGGAGGAGGAAGGAGAAGCTCGGGGAAGACGGCCTGGCCCAGTATCTCAGCTCCGGAAGCCGGTTTTCAGTTCCAGTACTCACACCAGGCTGGACTCTGGCCAGGCCGTTCGTCGTTCATTTTATTCGGTCAGCCTGGGGACACGTGGTTATTGAGTTACCTCCTACACGCCGGGCACCTGTGAGGTGCCAGGGGTGTACCTGTGGCCAGAACACCCATGAAGGCCACCTCGCAGAACTCCCAGAAATCCAGCCTGTGTCTGGAAGTGAGGACCAGCAGGAGAAGTCGAGACAGGGAGAAAGGGAGGGAGAGCGTGCAAGGGGGTGGGAGGGCTTGACAGCATCCTCTGACCTTCAGATGCAGCGGTGCCCAAACTGGACGGCCCAGCTCATTACATGAGCCAGTAAACTCTCTTCTATCCTTAAGACACTTTAAATTGGGTTTCTGACACTGGGAATGGCAAAACCCTCCTTAACATCTGAGTCACGGCAGCCCTGTGGAATAAGTAACCGGGGCCCAGGTAAGTTCGTCCCAAGTCCAAGGCCCCGGCTAGTAAGTTAAAGAGCAGACTGGAGCCTGCGCCTTCGCATCAGGAATGTGGACGTCTAACCTCAATGACTTCTCGGGACAAGAAATAAACGACAAAACGGGTATTTCCCGGAGACCTTCTGCAGGGGCCACGGAGAACGTAAGGCCTGGAACCCGTCACCAGCGCTCCCCAGTCTAACAGGGGTCGGCCCACAGCGGTCACGCGGCAGGAATGGTGCAGAGTGGGGGTGGCGCCCCGCCCGGCTCGGTGGCCCCCTCACGGAGCCCGGGACCCTCCCAGCTGCGGTCCAGCTCCGTACGGTTGGGCTGGACTGCAGCTGGGAGGGTCCGGGGCTCCGACTCACTCTTGGAGATGTTGTGATAACTCAGGGGACCCTCCCAGCTCAAGCCCCTGAGGGGAATGTGCCCCGTGTCCCATTTCCCGTGCCCCGGTCCCCCCCGCAGCTCTCTCTCCCATGGGCATTGGCTCCCTGCAAATGCAGCTCCTGGCACCAAAAACCCTCAGGGCCATCAGGAGCAGGGACCTCCCTCCTCTGTAACCCTATTTCTGGAGACACAGGGAGCTCTGAGCATCGGGGGGCAGCAGGTAGAGGGCAGACGGCTCCTCCCCTCAAGTGAGGTTCCAACTACGTGTCCAGCCATGTGACTGGGCATCAGCCACGACGTTTAGAATGGGAGAGACCTCTAGACCCCTCCTCTCCCTCTACGAGTGGGGAAAGTGAGGCCCAGAGGAGCAGCAGTGACCAGCTGGCTCATTGTCACACAACTGTTTCTTTTACACAAAGCGCTGGTTCAGAGGTGACCCCCACCACACTGCCCCCGGCGTCCCTGTGCCTGCCCTGCCTTCCCACCTCTTGGCCTTTGCTTTGCTGTTCTCCAAGTCCAGGGGTTGTGCCACCTCCCCCAGGAGGCCCTCCTTGATCCCAGCGCTCTTCCTGGGCCATGCTCCCTGCCTCATCCTGATGCTTTTCTTTCTTCTTCCTGTCCCCTGTGCTACGATCGAGGGACCAGCCTGTGCTGGCGGAGGAGGCAGATGCTTCGGAAATCGTCCCAGAGATGAACGTACAACCACAGGCTGAGGCACGTGCCACGAAGGGGAGGCTGTGATGGCCTAGAGCTGGGGCGGGAGGCCGAGGGAGGGGTCGAGACCTGGTCTGGGGAGGGAGCAGAAAGGTTTCCCAGAGAAAGCCACACCTGGGTGAGATCCGAAAGGGTAAGTCTACGTTAGCAGGGCAAAGAGTTGGGGAGGCAGAGGGAACAGCACGTGCCAAGGCCTGAGGCAAGAATGCACCTGGAGCCCTTCCGGAGGCGGGTGCCGGACGGGGCTGGAGAAGCAGACGGAGCCCGGGGTTAGTCCTCTGCTCCTGCCTGTCCCCTCACCCCCGCCCCGGGCTCAGGGATGACGCTCCCTGTCTCCTGCAGACCTCTGAACATGTGGACGGGCTGGGGACCACAGGGTCCCTGCTGAAGCCCCAGTCTCATCACGAGAGGGGATCAGAGCACCAGCCTGGCACAGCTGGCAGGGCTGGGGACAGGCACAGAGGGGCGTTCCCGGGCCTGCCACGGTCTGCGAGGGCCCCACACAGCCCCGCATGCTCAGAGGCTCTTTAAACAGGACGATTCTCATCTCCAACGACAGGGCCCCTTCTAACGGCCACAGAGAAGAGGCGCTGTGCCTGCCGCCAGCCCCCAAGGCACCTAACGAAGCGGCCTCCGGGATGACCCTGTGCCTCAGGGACGACTCTCGCCTTCTCACTGACCACCAGGCTGCACGTCCACCTGCCCGCCCAGGACAGGACTGGTGTGCAGGGCTCTCCCAGGCCACCGCAGGGCTTCTCAGCCCCCAGGGGGAGGGTCTTCATTCTCAGGGCCTAAAACGCAGAGGCCCCAACCTGGAGATTCGTTGCTCAGCCTCGTTACCGCCAGGGGCTCTGCGGGTGACTGCATAAGTCACGCAGCTCGATCAAAGGCCACATGTGGACTGTCACTGTTATTATTAAATATAAAGTGTGGATTTATTAAATAAAGCCACCTCACCCCCTCACCCCAGAGACAGCCCAGGGCAGTGACAGGTCACATGCTGGGGAATGGCATCCATCCCCTTGTCTCTCCCTCGGTGAAGAATGGCCAAGGAAACCAGCCCAGCCACCTCCAGCAGCCCGCACACTTCCCCATGCTCAGGGCCCGGGGTCAGAAAGAGAGGTGGGGGTGGGAGACAGCAGCCCCCCAAGTCTCCGCATGGCCCTGGCTTCACCCAGCTTTATGCAAAGTTGTGCTTCAAAGCCAGGCTAGTCCACGTAGGCAGGGAGAGAGCACTGGGTAAGAGTCCAGACCCAGAGCTGGGCTCAGTGCCTAAGCTTCCAAGACCCTGCCCAAACCCCCGCCGCCTCTGAGCCCCGCAGCAGATGGAAGACAACAACCCTGGCCACCCTGGCCACGGGAGGTGGCAGCACAGAGCAGGCCAGGAGGCACGGGAGCGGGGCAGGCCGGTGTCAACCCGCCCTGACCCCTGCAGCTGAATGACCACGAGAAAGCCCGGGAGCATTTTTCCCGTCGCCCTTCTCACTACCAGTATCATATGCCATTATGCACTTTTACAACATGTGTCCTAACAGCCCGCCACCCCACGGGGGGGTCAGCTCGGTGCTGGCAGAGGTTTGTAAGTGAGTGGCAGAGCCGGGATTCAAACCCAGGCAGGCCAGCTCAGAGCGCACATTTCTAACCAGTGTGCTGCTATGCAGCTGCTCACACACATCCTGG